TCCAAAAACGTGAGATTTTATTATAAAAACTTGCTTAAAAGCTTTTTCGACCAAATTTTACGTTTTTTCGACTTATTTTTGTTTGAATTTTGTATTTTTTTTGTAGCTAAATAACGTGCTAAAACGATCAAAAAATGCAAAAATTATCTAGTTTTTTATTTAATATGTTAATTTTTTGGTTTGTTTTAGCAAAATCTCCCTAAAAACGTGAGATCTTATTACAAAACTTGCTTAAAAGCTTTTTCGATCAAATTTTACGTTTTTTTGATTTATTTTTCTCTGAATTTTGTAATATTCCAGTATGTTTAAATAAAGTTTATCATTTTTTTTTTGTTTTTAATTTTAAAAACGTGCTTGAATACTCAAAAAACATTACTTTTAGTCTCTTTTGATGAATTTTTGGCTTGTTTTTAACGCACCAATTACGTTTTTAGCTAAAAAAAAAACGTGCTAAAACGATAAAAAAAATGCAAAAATTATCTAATTTTTTATTTAATTTGTTAATTTTTTGGTTTGTTTTATCAAAATCTCCCTAAAAACGTGAGATCTTATTACAAAACTTGCTTAAAAGCTTTTTCGATCAAATTTTACGTTTTTTTGACTTATTTTTGTCTAAATTTTGTAATTTTTTAGTATGTTTAAATGAAGTTTAAAATTTTTTCGTTTTTAATCTCAAAAAACGTGCTTAAATATTCAAAAAACATTACTTTTAGTCTATTTTGTTGAATTTTTGGCTTTTTAACGCAATAATTGCGTTTTTAGCTAAAAAAAAAACGTGCTAAAACGATGAAAAAAATCCAAAAATTATATAATTTTCGACTTAATTTGTCGTTTTTTTTGGTTTGTTTTAGCAAAATCTCTACAAAAACATGAGATATTATTACAAAAACGTGTTTAAAAGATGTTTCGACCAAATTTTACGTTTTTTCGATTTACTTTTGTCTGAATTTTGTACTTTTTGAGTCTGTTTACATAAAGATTTTTAATTTTTTTGTTTTTAATCTCAAAAACGTGCTTAAATACTCAAAAAACATTATTTTTGGTCTGTTTTGTTGAATTTTTGGCTTGTTTTTAGCGCAATAATTGCGTTTTCAACTAAAAAAAAAAAACACGCTAAAACGATTAAAAAATTCAAAAATTATCTTTTTTTTTATCTTTGTTTTTTTATTTTTTTTGATTGGATACGAAACAATGGTTTGTTTTAGGTAAAAATTTGAGAACGAAATAAAAACGTGGAATTGATTGTTTTTACTTACAATACAATAAATGAAAAACAATTGTTTTGTAACCCAATAATTGACCAATTCATTACGAGTCACCTTCAATTTATTTATCTGAAAAAATTTTTCCTTACCCAAATTTGATCAAAATCTAGCCTTTTTTTTTCGAAATGTTGCCACTTCACTGAATACAGGAAACTGTAACCTTTAAGTTGGTTCAGGTTTAGGCTAACATTTTGTTGTTTTTTTAGTAATTTGTTTTACTTTTTTGTTTCTTTCTCTCTTCTTTACTTTATTGCGAAATTGCTTTTTTAGCCAAAAAAAACATCATTTTCAAAATAATTTGTTGAACTTTTTGTTTGTTTTAGCAAAATCGGGGGAAAAAAAATAGTTAAAAGCTTTTTTGACCAAATTTTCTGGTTTCTCAGCTCATTTTGGTTTAAATTTTCCTCAAAAAGTAATTGAAATAAAGTAAATAATTTAAATTCCTTTTTAATGTTTCAGTATGTTTTCAAAATAAATAAGCCTTTAGTTCAAAAACGAAGCAAGTCGAGCGAAACAAGCTGAGAAATAATACCAATTTTGTAATTTTTGAGTTTCTTTAAAAGAAGTTTTTTATATATTTTGTTTTTTATCTCAAAATCGTGCTTAAATACTCAAAAAACTTCATTTTTAGTCAATTTTCTTGAATTTTTGGTCTGGTTTTAACGCAATAACTGCGTTTTTAGCTGAAAAACGTGCTAACGTGATTGAAAAAATGAAAAATGATTTAATTTTCATCTTAATTTGCTTATTTTTTGGTTTGTTTTAGCAAAATCTCTAAAAACCTGAGATTCTATTACAAAAACTTGCTTAAAAGCTGTCTCGACCAAATTTTACGTTTTTTCGATTTACTTTTGTCTGAATTTTGTACTTTTTGAGTCTGTTTAAATAAAGATTTTTAAAATTTTTCGTTTTTAATCTCAACAACGTGCTTAAATACTCAAAAAACATAGTTTTTAGTCTATTTTGCAGAATTTTTGGCTTGTTTTTTGCGCAATAATTGCGTTTTCAGCTAAAAAACACGCTAAAACGATCAAAAAAATAAAATATATTTAATTTTCAAATTAGTTTGCTTATTTTTTGGATTGGTTTAGCAAAATCTCTCCAAAAACATAAGATTTTATTACAAAAACTTACTTATAAGCTTTTGCGATCAAATTTTACGTTTTTTTTGACTTATTTTTCTCTGAATTTTATAATTTTTG